AGTTCCCACCTAAGAGAGTGGGAACGAAGACCTTTGATACGAACAATCATTTCTCAATCTGTGACAAATATATTTATATAAATTGGGAATTCTTATATGAAAGTTTTCAGTTGCATAACGGATAACATTTCAAGAAAGCCCTTACATTGGGAATTTTTACATGCAACTTAACTATAAGGTCGTTGGAAAGAGTATTTCAAGAGAACTGCAAGGAACACATTTCCATTGAACTTTTAAATACATTAAATATTTCTCCTAATATTGGAAACAGTACTCTCTTACCCATAAATCAAGACATTATAAATGGTTCAAACTAAAACTGATAAGAATAGAATACAGTGCACCAAAACAAAAAAGTAAAATATTAGTAAAATTGATAATATCATCATATGAGTGAATCCAGCAATTAAACACACAACATTAATAAAATTGATAATATCGTCAAATGAGTGAATCCAACAATTACTATTACATACGCTCAAAATTAAGGCCCTTGTCAATAACTCCATAGTCAATCAAAAATAAAGACCTAGCCCATAAAAAAATAAGAGAAATGTACTGAAATAGTCATTGCATTTTAAAACCCTAAAATCTCGATTCTATTCTTCCTCTTCGGTGGCAGAAGCCCCATTGGGTTTGTTATGCTTCCTAGCATACCTCTGATTCCTCAGGAATTTAGGATCCATCTGTAAACCCACCATTTCCGAAATCCATCAGAATGCATCCATATATTAAAAAAAAATGTTGTACAATGACATTAAACCCATGATTGATTCCTAGGAAACCAAATGATAATTATAACAAAATAAGACATATTATACGATTATTGATGGATCACCAAATGTAAAAATAGCAAATTAATGACAACTACCAGAAATATAATAATAAAATATAAAATATGCTAATGAGCATGCATTGTGACATTAACCCCATGATTTCTTCCTTGGAAATCAATGGATAAAATACCCAAAAGAAAAACATCTTATAAAAATATATACTATTGATGGATCCTCAAATGGAGAAATACCAAATAATGACAACTAACAGAGGGAATAATAAGATGATAGCAAATTAGCACGTATTGAAATAATGAAAAAACCAAAATATCAGAGAACCATAGACTGCGCATTATGAGATCAAGGAAAAACAGATTACCCCTTTTGTGGAGGTGTGCCTCTGCCTTCTGGGTTTCTTGATTCCATTCTTGTGAGCCTTGTAAGATTGGTTATGAGCTGTGTGGTTCTTCGACTTTGCCATTGTTTCCTGACTAAAATATTATTTTTTGCATATAAAAAAAAATTAAGTTTACTCAACGTAATATGTCAAAATGCAAATCAAACAAACAACATAACTTCCAGACTATTATGATAGATAAAGAGAAAGCGTCCATGTACACTGGATATAGAGAGTAAGAGAGGGAGAATATTCTTACAGAGAGTCACCCTTTTAGTGGAAAGAGAGAAAGGGGGACACAATGACTCGGTGGAGGGAGGCGATAGAGAGATTAACTTAGCGTATCAATAATAGAGAGAGATTGACTCGGGGTATGAAGAGGAGAGAGGGGGCGAGATAGTACCTTGGCGTGTGAAAGAGAAAGGAAGTAGCAGGGTCTTGAGTTGCAGAATGAAATAGCAGCAGAGTCTCTTGTAAACCCTAACCCTAACTTTTCAATTCAGAAAAATGACCAAACACTCCCCACAAATTGTAAAAATGAGATCCCAAATACCCTCATTATTTTCAAAAACTGGCTGACAGTCCAGAGTCAACCGACCCAACCCTCCAAAGAGCGTAAACAGTTACTCGGGGTGTAGTTTGTATAAGGGCCCTAAACAATCAAAGTGTATCGCACCTTCAAATAATATCGACAAATGTCATTTTAGAATAAAAAATATTTATGGGAAATATATTTTTATCTCGAGTTAAAAATTGTAAAGCTTGAAAAGTAGTGTAGATCAAGTATATTTATAAATACTTAAAAATATTGAAAATTGACGGTGTAGATAATATACTATAAATACTTAAAAAGCATACTTAAAGTCCATTTTTTAATCTATTAATACTTAAAAAGCATATCTATGAATACTTAAAAAGCATATCTATTTTCAAAACTTGAAGTCCACTTTTTAATCTATGAATACTTACAAAGCATATCTAAGAATACTTAAAAAGCATATTTATTTTCAAAACTTGAAGTCCATTTTTTCTAGGGTGAGGTTTGTGTAAGGTTTCCTCCTTGTATTGTAGAGTGAGGTTTGTGTAAGGTTTCCTCCTTGTATTGTAGAAATAAGGCGCGCTTATAAAATTGCGTTTCGGTGTCAAAAACCTTGTGATGGCTAGGATTTTTTTTTCATCTTCAATTATAAAATTTAAAATTTTTAAAATTGTACATATCGAGCAAATCAATAAACACTTAAAAATCTTAAAAATAGACAATCTATGTTTGGAATTTATCAAAGGATAAGGCTTTTATAATGCCTAGGCTTTGTGAAAAAGAAAACAAACCTCACATCAAATCTTCTATGGAAAGCATTTAGGCAACAAAAATTTCTATGATGGCTCTAAAATCAATTTTCAATACTGACAATGAAATTCAAAACTCAAAAAATAATACATAACTTGCAGAACTATGAATACCTACTCTTAGGGCTAAATGAGCAGTCTAGATAATTTATTGTAATACATGCTATTTTTAGAGCTTAAAATCGATTTCTTTTTAACAACCATAATGTTCAAGCCAAAAAGATCGTTATAAATTTTTTAATACTTTAATTGTAATTTTCAATGAATGATAAGTTAGAGTTTTTACTTACTTTGATAGGGTTGCATCCTATCAAACTGTTTTCCTTTATCAAATCATACTCATATGGAGATGTTAATACTCCTACCTTTAGGGCGGGTCTGATAAAAAAATAAAATAATTCTAATTGTTTAGAAGTCTATATAATGAAACATTTTGCCATAAAACCTTGATAATTAAGAGCACATATATTGTGCTCCCGTAGGGGCATATTGTATATCTATTCACTCGCTCAAAATACCTATTTAGGAAGATTTGTTTGGTCTGACATTTGGAGAACTGCATGAAAATTACTAGATGATTATTTTTAAAAGAATAAAAAAAATGAATTTTAAGTTTTATAACACTTAGATCTAGCCCTTAAAAAATTGAACAGTCTCTATTCAATCTCGATGCATTATTTTTTCTTGTGCATAGAGTTCATTTCAGATTTCCTTTTTTAGTGTGGTTAGTGTATGGGTTGTAGAGATTACATTTCCAAATCTGGCGATCTATAACGTACCCTAGTACGTGTTTTACCGGAGGCAATAAATAGACAGAATAGTAGGAAATCTTTTGGGATAAAAAAATAAACTTATTCTAGATACTATAAGTCTATGAAATAGCATGGACATAATGTGAAATTGCATTTGGTGGTGATAGACATACAAACCTAAATATTTTATTTATAATGGATTAACACTAAGTCATTTTTTTAATACACTAATAGTCAGATCAAGAAATTGGTCAGTCTCATTCAATGGCAAATGGTTGAAATGCTGCAATCTTAGCATGTCATACATATATAAAAAATAATAAAATAAATAAAAATTAAGGAATATAATAAAAAAATAAGATTTATTTTGGAGTTTAACTTGAGTTGGGAGAATAAGTTGCACTCGAAAAGGATACAACGAGATGATTTACCTTTGGTATAAGATGGTCATAATTAATTTTGACCGTTGGATGTGCAATTGGATTATTGCATTTACTTGATGCGTGCAGTTTGCATACGGATGCATCCGTAGGTGTAGAGGCAAGGTGCACCTTCAAATTTTGTCATGGTATATAATTTTTATGTAAAATGTTCTTAGGATTATCTTAAAATCTATTTTTACATATAATTATTAAATTTTAAATCGAAAAAATGGTTAAAATCAAGTAGATCTATAAATCAAAGGGTTTTTCAACATTAAAACTACCTTTTCCAATGGATTTTTGGGGGCATCCGTAGTTCTACATTATAAGGTAGCAGCATTCGATAAAGTTTATCCTTGTTTCATTGACCAAGCACAATCTTCAAAATAAAATTTTTCGAATTTTGTAACATTCTCAAGTTATCAAATCTCATGTCATTATAAATAATTATAACCTTTTTGTGTCAAAGATAAATGGTCTCATTGTATTCAATCCTCCCTTAAATAAGATAAAGTTTGACATTTTACTTAGTGACATTTGAACAAAATTTTGCCAATCAAACTTGTTGAACTGCGAACTAAGCCTCAAACTAGTTTGATTTGGTCAAAACCAGATCTTAAGAGGAATAATGTTTTTTTAATGTGGTTTATAGAAAAAAAAAAAATGTGGCTTAACTTTTGAATGGTAAATCAAGGGATCTCCTTTTTTTTGGGTGAATAAAGTATGGGACCTCATAATATTTGTTTTGGCTTCTCTTAAAAAATATTCATTTGATGTGTGGATCCCAAAATTTAGGCTTAAGAAAAATTTCCCAAAGCAGGTATTCAGTTGGAACTATATAATATGATCCATAGGAAATTTGCTCCAATTTTATTAGAACAGGGACTATTCTTATTCTAAAAGTTGATGTGTATGTATGGCAAACATTTTGGGGAGTATATTATTTATGGTCATCGAGATGAGATCGAATTGGTGGGCTGACCGGTTGGACTGCAGAGTAATTATCTTGCTTAATTTGATCTAAAGTAAAATTTGAGTTTGTTAAAAAATTAATAAAAGCTAATGTTTGATCGGTTTCAGACAGTTGTTTTCAACCCATTTTAATATATTTTATGTTTTAAACTATTATATCTATTTCTTTATTTATTCTAAAATCCAACTAGACTGGATCAAACTTCTCGCAGGTTCGGTGGCTCATCACATATTGATGACAATGACATCATTCGCTTCTTCATAAAAGAGTTTCAAAGATTTTCCTTGATATGAAATTTTGAGGTCCGTTTTATCATTACCATGCTATTATTTTTGGCGAGAAAGAAAATGAGCTCCTAAACGCTTAATCTTATCACTGGCCGTTCAAAATCGCAAATATTGAATCGCATCGGTTACCAGTTCTCGCGGGAGCATGTTCGTGCGTCTTTATATTTGAATTGGAAAATCCGATTCGTGCGCGTGTGGCGCCACTTATAAATGAGAAGCGCTCAAACGCTTGGCTGAAACTCGAGAGAACAAAAAAAAAGGCTGGGCATTTTCTCTGCAATTTTTTGGACGCAATGAAGAAAGGGTTTACGGCGACTATGACTCCATTAAATCAATATCTGGAGTCGGAAAGAAACCCAAAAGATCAGATGGTGATAAAGCTCTTGAAAATTCGATCCCTCGGCTATCGGCCATTGCCAATTCAGTGGTTCTCGTTGTTCCAGGTGCGAGCTCTTCCTCCATTTGTATCGACATTTCATTATGGTAAAAAATGCAACGAATTGATAATGGGGTTTCTGCAATTTATGTTATTATAGTTGTATCTTGATTTCATTGTATCTAAGATGGCGGAAGAGATCATTATTAAGCCACCTTCAAATGCGCCAATGCTGAATTTGTTTTCTTTGCTCTTGTATGCTTCTATGGAATTTTTCTTTTCCTTTTTATTTTCTTATTTTTGTTCGTCTTTGGGCAAAATCAGTCATATGGAAGTCTTGTTTATTTTCTGTTTGATTGGTAATTGTTCTATGGAAGTTAGATGCTTACTTTTCTTAGAGTGCCTAATAAAGGTCGAAGACCAGAATTAGGGTCTTGGATTGCCATTATCTCTGTGTAATGGTCAATTGCGAGGCATTTGTTTATGTTATGTGTTGAAGGAAATGATGGCAGAAACAATGCTTCAGAATCATGCAAATTGGAAATAATTGTAGACTTTCCAACACCATGAACAGGAATAATAGAACCATTGGCTATCGATATAGGAGGCTTATTAGAAGATTTCTCAAAACTGGTTAAGCACTTAAGATTACCAGTCATATGATCAGTAGCCCCTGAATCAATAACCCAAAAATAAATATTTGAATGAGAGTGAGAAGAGTAAGCTGAGGAATTACCTGTTTACTGGGGAGAGTCTTGTGTGGAGGTATTGTCGCTCTTACCATACTATTGAAAAAATTGAGCAAGTTTTTCAAAAGTAAATTGTGAATCAGTTGTGGATGCTTAAAAGCCAGTTCTCTTGTCTCTTATACCATGTCCTCTTATATCCTTTGAAGGTCTCAGATGAGGATGTAGAGCCCAACATCGATCCTTTGTGTGGCCAATAGCTTTGCAATGATCACATTTAAACATGATCCCTCTTTTATTATGACACCCTCTACGACGTCCATGAAAAACACCGCTTCCTCTTGTTTCATTATTAGTAGACTTCTCATTATTTGCAACAGGGTAGACTTCTCAATTAGTTCAGTGTTATTTGTATCAGGATTCATCACCTCCTTCCTAGTTTATTCTCTTAAAATAGTAGAGTAAACACTCGAGAAACTATGAAGTTCAGCAGACATCAATATTTGACTTTTTAAGCTTCTCATATTCAGGTTTTAAAGCAGCAATAAATTGAAATACTTGATCTTGCTTAACACGTTTTTGGATAACAGTTAAGCCAGTAGTGGCAAGAGTATAAGTGGCTAACTCATCCCACAGCAACCAACTTGAACTCAGTTGCTGTTTTTTCCTGTTTAACCTGGGATATTTCTTGCTTCAATTAATATATGCGAGCAATATTGTTTTGATTTCCATAAACTGACTTAATAGATTCCCATAATTGTTGGGCTGTGTTTGAATGAGTAAATATTTCAGCAATTGTAGGTTGCATAGAATTCACAATCCAAGACATTACCATTTGATCATTTGCCAATCTTCAAATGTCGGATCTTCAGCTTTGGGTGCTTTTGGTTTTCCAATAATATGTCCAATCTTAGATTTCCCACCCAAGGCCAAAGTTGCAGCCCTTGACCAGGCAATATAATTGAGTTCGCTAAGAGGGGTAGTAGTTAGTTTGATTCTAGTATTGGACTCAGAGTCATATGTAGAATACTTAGAGCTAATGTCCTTATCATCCATAGTTCTCAATAAGAAGAACTTTTAATAGCAGTAAGAGAGGGCAGCAATACTTACCATAGATGACTGAGCAAATCCAAAAGAATGAAGCACACAAGCTGTAGAAGAAATCCACTCACAGGTTGCTGGTTTTCTCGATCTAACGTGCAATCAATACTCATGGCTTTTGGTTGGAAATACAAAGCAAACAAGAGATGACAAGAGCACAACAACATTACATTCAACAACAGATGACATTAATTTCAAGAGGCTTGCTTGATACACACGGCCTCAAGCAAATAACAACAATGGCAGCAGATCGTGAAAAAAAAAAAAACAATGGCAAAGAAAACCACCACACTCAAAAGAAACAAAGAACCCTGTATGAGCAATGGATCGCTACATGCTCTGATACCATGTTAACAATATAAGAGAAAGAAAAAGATATAAAGAGAAAGAGGAAACACATAAATTTTAACGTGGTTCTACAATATTTGCCTACATCCACGAGAGTTTTTTTCCACAATTATTTATGCTTTTACAATAAGCTTTGCAAGGCTACATATACACAAAACCAAAGAGTAAGTCAAGAGGAAACTACCCTAATTAATAGGATCTTGTAATCCTCAAAAAATCCCAAAAGAATAGCAACAAATAATAGGTGATGGGAAACAACCGCAAGAAATTAGGCGATGATAAAGGAAAATTCAGGGCTACAACATGGCATTGACAAGTATCACATCCATGAGAGTCAATACGAAGATTAGGAATTAAAAGATGTAAAGTATGATCTGAAGGGTGGCCAACTCTAGCATGCCACAACTTATTACTGGAACTCCTAGCCACTAAGGCTTTATTTTCTTGATAAAAAATATATAACCCATTTGAAATTTTCCCTTCACCAATCTTCCTCCCCGTGGCCCGATCCTGAAAGACAACATTTTGAGGAGAGAAAACAATATTGCAATTTAGATCTTTGGTTATCTTACTAACAAGTAACAAATTTGAAGGAAATTCCATGTTGTAGCCCTGGATACAAGTGTTGAAGGATTCACGGTCAATGCCATGCTGTAGCCCTGGATTTTCCTTTATCATCACCTAATTTCTTGCGGTTGTTTCCCATCACCTATTATTTGTTGCTATTTTTTTGGGATTTTTTGGGGATTACAAGATCATATTAATTTGGGTAGTTTCCTCTTGACTTACTCTTTGGTTTTGTGTATATATAGCCTTATAAAGCTTATTGTAAAAGCATAAATAATTGTGGAAGAAAAACTCTTGTGGATGTAGGCAAATATTGCCGAACCACGTTAAAATTTATGTGTTCCTTCTTTCTCTTTATATTTTTTTCTCTATTATATTGTTAACATGGTATCAAAGCATGTAGTGATCCATTGCTCATCCAGGGTTCTTCGTTTCTTTTGAATGTGGTGGTTTTTTTTGCCATTTTTTTTTTTTTCACGATCTGCTGTCGTTGTTCTCCAATCTATTGCAAGAAAATTTCAGTGTACACAAACCACTGCTGGCTGATTTAAAACTGTCTGGAAAACTACTATCTTGAAGTTTTTGTCAGCGATATTGTTATTTGCTTGAGGCCGTGTGTATCAAGCTAGCCTCTTGAAATTAATGTCATCTGTTGTTGAATGTAATGTTGTTGTGCTTTTGTCATCTCTTGCTTGTTGTGTATTTTCCAACCAAAAGCCGTGAGTATTGATAGCACGTTGGATCGAGAAAACAAGCAGCCTGTGGGTGGATTTCTTCGACAGCTAGTGTGCTTCATTCTTTGGATTTGCTCGGTCATCTGTGGTAAGTATTGCTGCCCTCTCTTAATGCTGTTAAAAGTTCTTCTTATTGAGAACTATGGATGATAAGGATATTAGCTCTAAGTATTCTACATATGACTCTGAGTCCAATACTAGCCTCAAACTGACTACTACCCCTCTTAACGGATTCAATTATATTGCATGGTCAAGGGCCGCAACTTTGGCCTTGGGTGGGAAATCTAAGATTGGACATATTACTGGAAAAACAAAAGCACCCAAGACTGAAGATCCTACATTTGAAGATTGGCAAGCCAATGATCAAATGGTAATGTCTTGCATTTTGAATTCTATGCAACCTACAATTGTTGAAATATTCACTCATTCATACACAACCCAACAATATGGGAATCTATTAAGTCAGTTTATGGAAATCAAAACAATATTGCTCGCATATATCAATTGAAGCAAGAAATATCCCAGGTTAAACAGGAAAAATCAGTAACTGAGTTGGTTGCCACTCTCAAACCGCTGTGGGATGAGTTAGCCACTTATACTCATGCCAGTACTGACTTAACTGTTATCCAAAAACGTGTTGAGCAAGATCAAGTATTTCAATTTATTGCTGCTTTAAAACCTGAATATGAGAGCTTAAAAAGTCAAATATTGATGTCCGCTGAACTTCATAGTTTCTCGAGTGTTTACTCTACTATTTTAAGAGAAGAAACTAGGAAGAAGGTGATGAATCCTGATACAAATAACACTGAACTGATTGAGAAGTCTGCCCTTGATGCAAATAATGAGAAGTCTACTAATAATGAAACCAGAGGAAGCGGTGTCTTTCATGGACATGGTAGAGGGTGTCATAATAAAGGAAGGACCTTGTTTAAATGTGATCATTGTAAAGCATCCACAACTGATTCACAAATTACTTTTGAAAAACTTGCTCAATTTTTCCAACAGTGTGGTAAGAGTGGCAATACCTCTACACAAGACTCTCCCTAGTAAACAGGCAATTCCTCAACTTACTCTTCTCATTCTCATTCAAATACTTATTCTTGGGTTATTGATTCAGGGGCTACTGATCATATGACTGGTAATCTTAAGTGCTTAACTAGTTGTGAGAAATCTTCTAATAAGCCTCCTGTATCAATAGTCAATGGTTCTATTATTTCTGTTCATGGTGTTGGAAAGTCTAAAATTATGTCCATTTGTATGATTTTGAAGTATTGTTTCTGCCATCATTTCCTTCAAATTTGTTGCCTGTTAATAAGATAACCAAAGATCTAAACTGCAATGTTGTTTTCTCTCCTCATGATGTTGTTTTTCAGGATCGGGCCATGGGAGGAAGATTGGTGAAGGGAGAATTTCGAATGGGTTATATATTTTTGATCAAGAAAATAAAGCCTTAGTGGCTAGGCATTTCAGTAGTAAGTTGTGGCATGCTAGAGTTGGCCACCCTTCAAATCATACTTTACATCTTTTAATTTCTAATCTTCGTATTGACTCTCATGGATGTGATACTCGTTAATTTTCCAAACAAACCAAATTTCCTTTTCAGAAGTCTCTGAATGATTTTGGACCCTTTCAATTAGCTCATTCAGATGTTTGGGGACCTGCTCCAGTTGATTCTTATTCTTGACATAGATATTTTATTTTATTTATTGATGATTGGTCACGTGCAACTTGGAGTATATCTTTAATCAAAAGCCTTAGTAGCAATGCCCAGATTAAAATTTTTTGATTTGATAATGGTACTGAGTATGTTAATAAATTTTTTTATGAGTACCTAACCAGCCTTGGGATTATACGTCGAACCTCCTGTGTCGGGACCCCTCAATATAATGGAGTTGCCTAAAGGAAGAATAGGCATATTCTCGAAGTCGCAACTTCTTTAATGTTTGAGAAAAATGTTCCAAAGAATTTTTGGTCTGAAGTTGTTTTAACAGCATGTTATCTCATTCATAGACTTCCCAATAGAGTTCTTCATGATATATCTCCCCTTGAAGTTTTAAATAAAAGAAGGATTGATATCTCTCATTTGCACGTATTTGGGTGCGTTTGTTTTGCTCATACTCGTGACCATCAATGCGACAAACTTGATTCTTGTACTACTAAATGTGTTTTTGTGGGATATTCCTCTACAAAAAAGGGATACAAGTGTTATAGTCCTACATTAAAAAATGTTTTTATTTAGAAATGTTCAATTTTTTGATGATGAATCTTATTTTCAAATCAACTCTGAATTCTTCAAAATAAGATTTAGGGGGAGTATCCTCTTCCTATTTCTGCTAGTCAAAAGAGCAGTTTTTATGAAAGAAATCAAGAGAATCAAGAAAATCAGGAACTTTGGGAGAATCAAGATGCTGCAGTAACAATGAGAAGGAAGGTAGCAACAACGACACACCAAGAGATAGGACTCCCGTGGCCCATCCTTCTGATCCTCCCGTTTGCAAATTATCTCGTGTTATGCATCCTCCGTCAAGGTTGCATGACTTATTTACTTATCATGCTGCTTCTCATCCTATTCAAAATCAGATTTGCTATGAAAATATTTCTTCCAAGTTTGCTGTTTTTTTGAGTTCTATCTCTAACAATGTTGAACCTAGTAATTTTAATGATTCTTACCCTCAGTCTGTGTGGAGGAAAGCCATAGAGGAAGAACTTCTTGCTCTTGACAAAAATCACACTTGGGATATAGTCTGTTTACCCAAAGGTAAAAAACCTGTCGGTTGTAAATGGGTTTTCAAAATCAAGTACAATAGTGATGGTACCACTGTGAGACACAAAGCAAGATTGGTTGCTAAAGGTGTTACTCAAACCTATGGTGTGGATTATGATGCAGAGAAAAAAAAAAATTAGTTTTTTTAGTTTATCTATTAACTCAAGAAGAGGAGGTGCGCATGCATAATTAGGTGGGCATATTTTGTGCGTGAATTGATATTGATCAATTGGGTGGTTAGTTTAGGAGTATAAATAAAATAAAGTTAAATCTAAGGGGAGTTTATCTTTTTAAGCAAGGTTTTGTCTCTAGGGGGAGGCTTTGCATAAAACGTGGCCTATCTAGCCAAATTATTTGGTACGTGTGGTTAAGAGAAAGAAAATACAAAGGAGAGGTAGAATAAGAAAGTGTTTATCTTCTTTTTTAGTCTATTTAAGGGAGATCTCCCTTAAATTAGTGAAGGAGTTAATAAAATTTGGTCTTGACAAGAGATTTGGTCTTGTGAAGAGATTGTTTTTGGGGTGGATTCCCATGCAGACCTTTGAGAGAGGGTATATTCTCTCAACATTTTCTTTTTTTTTATTGTTATTTTTTTTGGTTTTATTTTCTCCCTGCATCAATTGGTATCAGAGCAAGTTAGATCTACAACGAACAAGTCAGATCCAGAGATATCCGGTTTGTTTTGCAAGTTATTCCTGCTCCTGCTATGGATGATCGTTGGATGCAAACTAAAGCCCTAGAGGATTTTCGATCGGAAATGCGTGAGATGAATCAGGAGAGGAATCAAAGGATGCAATGGTTGGATCAGCAGCAGTTGGAGAACAATCTTCTTTGTGAAGAACATGGGATGCAACGGTTGGAGAATAATCTTCCTCGTGAAGAAGGTACTCACCATATGCAATCCACGTTTTATAGAGCGACCATGAGATTTTGAAGAACATGGGATGCAACGGTTGGATTAGAGCGATCATGAGATTTTGATATTAAAATCGATCTCTCAAAATATCATGGTCAAAGGTGTTTGCTTGCATATGGTGTGTCTTTGGAGCTGGACCCATTCCTAGTTAGGAATAATTAGCCCAAGCTCGTATTCAACAATTACTCTTTTAACACAGTCGCAGGCGAAGAGTCTTACATCAGTCTTGAAGAAATTGAAGAAAAGGTACCGAGGCTCATGGTGGGACTTCATCACCAACTTTTGAGAAGGCCCCAAAAGATTTGAGTTCAATAAGCTCGAGGTCGAGCTTCTCCCAACCCGGGAGAATGATGCAGAGAAAAAAAAAATTAGTTTTTTTAGTTCAAAAATAGGAGGTGCGTAGGGATAATTAGGTGGGCATATTTTGTGTGTGAATTGATATCGATCAATTGGGTGGTTAGTTTAGGAGTATAAATAGGATAATGTTAAATCTAAGGCGAGTTTATCTTTTTAAGCAAGGTTTTGTCTCTAGGGGGAGACTTTGATAAAACGCAGCCTATCTAGCCAAATTTTTTGGTACATGAGGTTAAGAGAAAGAAAATAAGGTGGAGAGGTAACATAGGAAAGTGTTTATCTTCTTTTTTAATTTATTTAAGGGAGATCTCCCTCCATTGTAAATTAGTGAATGAGTTAATAAAATTTGGTCTCGAGAATAGATTTGGTCTCGTGAAGAGATTGTTTTTGGGGTGGATTCCCATGCAGACCTTTGAGAGAGGGTATATTCTCTCAACCTTTTTTTTCTTTTTTTCTTTTTTTATTGTTATTTTTTTTGGTTTTATTTTCTCCCTGCATCAGATTATAAGGAAACATTTACCCCAGTTGCCAAGATGGGCATTGTTCGGGTTCTTCTCTCTATTGTTGTAAATTGTGGTTGGCCTTTATGGCACATGGACGTAAAAAATGCCTTCCTCCATGGAGACCATGAGGAAGAAGTGTATATGAATCTTCCTCCAGGTCATCCTAAAGAAGGAAATCCTGAGCTTACTTGTAGACTTAAAAATGCTTTATATGAACTCAAACAATCTCCGAGAGCGTGGTATGCAGCTGAGTACTGTTCTATTAAGAATAGGGTTTAAAAAGGGCTCTGCTGACTATTCCTTATTCAGTAAGAATGGAAAAAATGGAATTGTTGTTGTCCTTGTGTATGTTGATGATATTATAATAACTGGTAGTGGCAAAGAAGGAATCTCATAGCTAAAAGGATACTTTCAAAGCAAATTTGATATTAAAGATTTAGGACAACTCAAGTACCTTCTTGAAATTGAGGTTGCATACTCCAAAAAGGGAATTTTTATATCTCAAAGAAAGTATGTTTTGGATCTCTTAAAAGACATTGGTAAACTTGGGGTCAAACCTGTTGATATTCTAGTCGACTTGAATAATAAACTTACTTCAGATGAAGGGGAGCCTCTTGAAAATATTGATAGATTTCAAAGACTTGTTGGGAAACTAATCTATTTGACTATTACTGGGCGAGATATCGCTTATGACGTTAGCCTAGTTAGTCAATTTATGCATGTCCCAAGAACTAGTCATATGATTGTTGTTGAAAGAATCCTTTGATATCTAAAATCGTGCTCTGAAAGAGGAATTTGGCTAAAATGTAATAATCACATTGATGTTGTCAGATATTCTGATGTTGATTGGGCTGGATACTTGAATGATCGAAGGTCTACTACTAGGTTCTGTGCAATGGTGGGTGGAAACCTTGTCACTTGGAAAAGTAAAAAGCAAAGTGTGGTCGCCAGATTAAGCGCAAAAGCCGAATATAGAGCCATGGTTGCTACTGCAAGTGAACTTATTTGGTTGAAGTTTCTCCTTCAGGATCTCGGATTTCAAGTGAAACTGCTAATAAAAATGTTTTGTGACAATCGGGCTGCCATTCATATTGCTTCAAATCCTGTATTTCATGAAAGGACTAAACACATTGAGGTAGATTGCCACTTTGTCCGCGATAAGGTTCAAATTGGAATTATCAACACTCCATTTGTTCTAAGTGAAGACCAACTAGCAGATATTTTACCAAGGCAATTTCAAAGACAAATTTTTTACAACCTTTGAGCAAGTTGGGCTCAATTGATATTTACGATCCAACTTGTAGGGGAGTGTTGAAGGATTCACGGTCAATGCCATGCTGTAGCCCTAGATTTTCCTTTATCATCACCTAATTTCTTGTGGTTGTTTCCCATCACCTATTATTTGTTGCTATTCTTTTAGGATTTTTTGGGGATTACAAGATCCTATTAATTTGGGTACTTTCCTTTTGACTTACTCTTTGGTTTTGTGTATATATAGCCTTGTAGAGCTTCTTGTAAAAGCATAAAGAATTGTGGAAGAAAAACTCTCGTGGATGTAGGCAAATATTGCCGAACCACGTTAAAATTTATGTGTTCCTTGTTTCTCTTTATCTCTTTTTCTTTCTCTTATATTGTTAACATTATGCTTGTGTAAGCAATGATTATGAGAATGATGTTTTTTATATTTATTAAGGAAACTCTACAATAAGACTGTTTACCTTTGGTACAAAAAGATCAAAATCACCTCTAGCTACTTGATGTGAAATTGGGGAAGGGGGTGTTCTGGTGCCATTGACTGCACTAAAAGTCCAAGAAAGTCATTTGGACTTTGTGCAAGAAAATGACATTTGCATATGTCGGCTTGGTGCATTTGTGACCTTTGTGTATGGAAGGTAATGGTATCTTTGCGTGCAATCCCTTACTTTTTTTATTACCTTTTGTGTAGTTCAGTTGTAGGATTTGTTTGAAACAGGGATGTGATCTGGCAATCATCAACAACTTGACAATGCAAGCTGCAGCCTGAGTTCTAGAATGATGCTTATTTACATGGAATGGATAGTAATAATCATCAGATTGATGCTTACATACTTGTTATTATATGCTTCGGAATTATGTGGTGGTTTCTATTCTTAGATGCTTAATACTCAATATTTTTTATCATTAGACAAGGTTTTCACTAGCAAGAAGATTAAAAGTATATCATGCGATGAATTGTAAATGTACTTTTGCTATTTATTTAGTTTATCCTTAGGTCTAGTGTCTATTCGTCATTCATCATTGGAGATCAACTAGGGTGTGGTCCATGCCAAGAGTTAGAACAAGAGCATGTAGGCTGGCATTGTTATTAGAATATAATATTCTAAATGGATTTTTAATATGTATGATCATATTTCCAAGGATTTCATGTAACTTATTCAGTGGGTTGACAATGTCATGTGAGATCTCTATTTGTGTAATGTATCATTTCCATAGAAAGGTGAAGAGGCATGTGAGTGAGGCAGCTATTTTTAGTGTTGGATGATCTCGTTTAAGGTCGTAGACCATTATCTGGGTTCCACTTTAGCTCACATGGTTTGCAAGTCTTTAGGCGCTTTTAATATGAGTTTGTCAATTACTAAGTGACATGAGCCAATTGTCCTATGAATACTCACTCCTTTCACAACACTCCATAATTCTAAGATTTTACTGTTAGCTGTGATGCTAGCAGGCTGTTTGCAAGGAATTTATATTGCAAAATGTTAGCATCAGTTAACCAAAAAATTTCTATTGATCACAAGAATGACAGTCTATGTTATCTTTTCACATTTTAGTTGATCACGCAATTTACGTCATGCATTAGGTTGCTTCTTTCCAATATTGGACTTAGTTTTAAGTAATAGGGCTTCCAAGCTTGTTTTTTCCTTCTCCATAGCAATCGGGCTTCCAGACAATGATGTTATTATGTTTGGCTTCCAGACTATGATGTTGTGACTATTTTCTGAATCTCTCTATCTCTCTCTCTCTCTCTCTCTACTAAGATACAGCTGTTGTTTATTGTCTTATCGCCCTCA